GCAAGTGTCTTTTTATACCGCATAAAAGGCTGAAGTGTTTACATATCAAAAGGCTATAGGCCAATTTCTGTCAAAATTACACATGAAGTTAAGCAGTACAAGCAATTTATTTAAACACTAGTCATTGTAGAAAAATTCAAAACCATATGCTCTTTTAGCAGTTTTTCACAAATGCATTTGACCCATGACTTGGCTAGACATACAAGCTTCATAATTTACTCTAAATTTCAAATCCCCTTGACGTTTAAAGAAAAGATCTTCATTAATGAGGTTTACATGAATGAAAAAAACGTTTAGAAGCTGATACCGGCTCGAGAGGGGCTTCGGGAACCGTCCGTGCCCTCACGTTCATTTTCAAATGACTGACTTTGCTAATCATTTCAAGAGAACCTTTCCTTCCAGAGCAAACGGTGGTCATTTGCATGGTGCGATTTGCAAAAGCAATGGTACAGGGTACAGTCCCTAGAAGACAAGCCAACGTCAGGCAACAGTCCGACTTCTGGGATCCGGAACCCTGAGCTATTTTTTACTGTTATGTATGTTTACATATCCTGAGGCCTTGGGAATGCCGTGTGGATCCATACCATCCCGCATCTCGATCCCCGCCTCCCCCCCACCGTGCTGTTAAGTTAAACTTTGCTAACACCTGGGTTACTTTGACCTAGGGTGAAGGTGGGCGAGTTTTATTTGGAATGTTGTGAACGGTCTAGAAAAAAACATTTTTTTAAAGCCAGACGTGCATCCCGATGTCAGGCCGAAAGTAGAATAAATACCTAGACCTTGTGCGCACTACCTTTTAGGTCAGGGTTTATGCCCAGGCCCAGACTCTCCCGGAAAACCCCTGCGGCCGTCTGAAGTGATCCCCAAGGAGCCACAGGGCCTTGGAACCGGTTTTAGTTGGGAGACACTAGAGGCTTTTTAAAATTTTTTATGCCCAAATGCAAACAATAAAACCCCTTTGCCCCGTGAAGACGGTCCAGGGATCTGGGCCCTGCGTCCTGGCGGCAGCGGTATCTGAGCGTCGTCTCTAACCTTCTTGACTCGTTGGCCACAATGGGCCTGCGACGTGGGTTTTACACCTTTGAAAAGGAGCCCATCGGCTCATTGCTCGAGGCAAGACAAAAGCCCCACTGAAACGCACTGGACAAGGAACTCCGCTCCAGGCAGAGAGAATTATGCAAAGTTCCCCCAAAAAAAACGAACTGGGGGAAGTTAGGTCTTAGCATTACTGTCCCCCCTGCCCCTCTGCTTTCCCAGCAGCGACAGGGACGAGGGTGTAGGCCAGTGAGTCCACTGACAATGGTCTCCACGCTAAACAGGTCTTAGGGCGGAAGGCGAGAGCCGGCGCACACTCCCAAACTTGGGCATTGGGTTTTAAATCAGAGAGGCAATTTAATCTTGGCTCTCCGAATCAGTGGCGCGAGGACCGCGGTGCAAAAGTGCGTTGATGAATGCCGGCCCGCAAGGAGAGCTGATGCATGTGCAATCCACGGATCTGGTCTTTAATATCCGAACAATGAGGGCTATTACCGGGCCGACGGGCTTCCGCCGCAAACATATTTTCATAGACTTCGGCGTGGTGATTGCTTTGTGGGAAATCGTGTTTGGGTGATAATAAAGAACATCAGCGGCGTGTTTACTGCATTTCCGACCTAAGCGCTCGCCGGCGGGCTCAGGACGCGCGCGGGCCTCCCATGCTGAGCTGCGCGTGCGGGGCCGGCAAACAATCGCTTAGCAACACGAGGCGGGCAATTTGCGTGCGTCGCATTTGTTATTCCAATTGCGCCGGGCGGCGCGGGGCCACTGATTGTGTCCAGTGGCCGCGGACACTTGTAGGTTTGGGGCCTCAGAGGAGACGCGGGACCGCCTGCCTCTGGCAGGGCCTGCCTCCCGTGGGCAGGGTGGGGAGAAGACAAATAGAGGGGTAACCTGGAGGTGCACGGGGGGAGGGGGCGGCGGCCTGGGAGCTGGTTGAGTGTCTGGGGGAGGGAGACACTTCTCCAGAAAGTTCCCTCTGTGGGAGGGCAGAGCCTGCCAGATTGGGAGGCATGGAAGTTGGAGATAGCGAACTCCTTTGTCCCAATGGAAAGAACTAGAAAATGCCAAGTCCACCCCCTAACTTCCTTGGAGGCCTTTGGCTAACCTCATTAAATGGTAGGGTTGTGAGGGACACCATGTATACTGGAGTTCGTTCGATCAGCTAAATACTACTAATAGCTCCGAAGTCCCGAGAGAGCAAACCGGTTTTCAGGTGGAAAACTGGGGTTCAGACTCTGTCAAGTCTTCTGCCCATCTAGGGGCCAGGGATCACAAATGGAAGGGGTGCAGATAACCCAGGGGAGCTTTTTAATAGTTGGATTACCCTCATTATTCAAAAGGATCACTGTGCCAGGCAAAAGGTTGCCTGAGGCGTGGGGGTAGGTGATGCGGTACAAAAAAAGTAAGTGGTGACACTTGTCACGTCTGGCCAAAGTCTGGACACAGTATTGGTCCAAGCACCTAGGCTGAAAGACAAGGGGAATTGCCCCCCAGCTGCCTGCGTCCCTAGACGCTGATCCCAACTCCTCTGTCCCCAGCACCGCACCACGGACACCGCCAAGATGCCCACGGGAAGTTGCAGCATCTTGTTGGTTCTCCCTAAAGTCTCCGTTCTTCGGAGAGAGACACGGTGCCCTGAGAACGCCGGAATTTTTGGAGGCTCTTGCAAACGGGAAAATAACACCATCGCGTTAGGCGCGGGAAGGCAGGCCACTGCTACCCGCAGACCTGACTTCTCGGTAGGGACGGCTCACCCTCCACCCCGCCCGGGGTGGTTTTATTGTAAAAACTTACATCTATCCGAATTCTGACCCATCTCTGCCCTGCCTCATAGCGACCTTACCCAGGCCTCGTTTCGTTGCGCAGGGGGCCAGGTTCTCTCTCTGACCACGCACTGGTGGACGTGAGGGCGCAGAGGTCTACACGGAGTGGCCTCTGAGCAGAACGCCGCCGCCCGGCTTCGCCCGTGCAGTGCCAGCTGCTAGTGGGCTGAGTCCCATCCGGACTAAAGCGCGCGAGGCCCCCTCGGACCCGGGAACAGCAATTAGTACGCGCCCTTTCCCCTTTGCCCCCCGCACCGGCGGGACAGCCCGCATACCGAGCCCGGCTGCGCTGCGGCGACTTCACACCACCCCGCGGGGACCCCCGGTTAATTGCTCGAGCGACACGGCCCCCAACCCCGTGGCGTTAAATGCGGCCTTCCATCGGGAAACCCAAGGTGCCTCCTCCCCATCCTCACCCCCTCTAGAGCGGCGCTGGCGCCCGGACCAGACTCGGTCCCTTCGCCAGGAGCGGCTGGAGCGGGCTGCGCGA